GTGCTGCATACTCTTCTTTAGTGTCCCCTTACCATTGTTCCATCAAAAAAATAAGTCTTTTTCCTATCCCTATTTAAGTCACCCCATGTAATGTCCCAGATAGCCTGAAGCAGAGAAGAGTTATTCTTACTATGCCATCTCTGAATTCTTGACCCACAGAGTCCATGAACATAATAATATTTTTGTTTTACACTGCTAAGTTTGAGGTGGCTCATAATGTAGTGATAGTAAGGAGAATACAGATGGTAACTTCTGACCTGAACAAAGTTGAATTGGAAGGCAATAAGAAGATACTAAACTGCACAATCTCCAAATGTTTGAAAATTAAGCAATTTCCTAATGAAAGGAATTTCCTAGTAATATAAGCATTAAAAAAACAACAAATAGCAATAGAAATTAGGAAATATTTTAGAATAATTGATAATTAAAATTCCACATGCCACAATCTGAAAGATTCAAGAAAATTTTATGTCTTAAAAATACATATTAGGGGGAAAAGAAGATGGTTCAACAATGCATAATCTAAGATTCCAACTCAAGAAGCTGAATAAGAAATAAAAAATTACACAGAAAAATTTAGAAAGAAGTAAAAAATTAAAAATTAATGAAATTGGCAACAAAATAGAGAAATCAGGAACATAAAAATAATTTTTTGTAAAGCTTAATAAAATTTTAAATTCCTAGCATACCTATTCAAGAAAAAGAGAATACATGTTACTAATATAATAAATAAAAAATATATATCTTACATATTCTGCAGACATTAAACATACAACCTTATTCAAAACTTTATATTAATAAATTTTCAAAATCAGTAGGAAAAAATATATAAATTTTACCATCCAAAATAGTATAAAGTAATGTCAAATACCTAGAAATAAAGTTAAAAAAGATAGTCAAGACTTATACTCTACAAACTGAAGAAAATGACTGAAATAATTCAGAAAGAAGTTAAGAGGTGTAAAATATTCATATACTGTTATTTTAATTGTAAATTGCTATGGAGTTGGGAGCTCTGGTAGCATAATGGCTAAGACACTTGCCTGTTAACCAGATGGCTGGTGGTTCAAACCCACCAGCCACTCCTCGGAAGGAAGGTTGGGCAATCGTACTTCCGTAGTGATACTGCCTCGGACACCCAAGGAGGGGTAGCTATGAGTCAGGTTTGACTCGACGGCACATAACAACAACAACAACAACATGGAGTTGATACTGACTCATGGTGACCACATGTAAAACAGAATGAGACATTGCCCAGTGCCACTCCATCCTCATGACAGCCAGTTTGCTTCAGTTGCCCTTCAACCTAGGAGGCTCATCTTCCAGCACTATATTGGACACTATTCTGTGTTGTAATCTATAAGGTTCTCATTGACTAATTTTTAGAAATACAGTGCCAAGGCTTTCTTCCTAGTATATCTTACAATCATGTCTTGGAATCTCTGCTAATACCCATCCACCATGATGATTAAAATACCAATAGCATAGCCTCCAGTATAGCAACACTCAAGCCATGGCAGTATGACAAACTGACAGATGGATGGTGAATATATATGTTAGAAGACTGAATGTTGTTAAACTATCACTTTAATCAACAGGCTGAATGCAGTTCCAATCAAAACATCAGCAGGCATTTGGTAGAAAATAAGAAACATGAATTATTTTATATGGAAATGCAAAGGATCTATTATAGCCAAATTGGAGGATTTACTTTACTGATATCAAGGCTATCTATAAAACTACAGTAATTAGGAGTCTGTGGCAAGGATAGACAAATAGACAAATGGAACAGAATAGAGTCTAGATATAAAACTACTCTTACATGGTGAATAGATGTATGACAAAAATCATTACTACATTTTAAAGAAGAATAGAATTTTTCTGTAAGTGATAATAGAGCAACATGATATTTGTAATGAAGATATGATTTTATGTGATGGATCATACATAAAAATTTGAAACTAAAGCTACAAAGCTCTGGAGGAAATCATAATAAAATATCTTCACCATCTTGATAGGGCTTTTTCAGAACTTCCTTAATTATAAAATAAAATTATTTAAAAATTGGACCTTATAAAAACTAAAAAAAAAATTCTCTCATCAAAAAATACCCTTGTAAAAAGTGAAAAGACAAACAACAAATGAAAGAAAATTTTTGTCACACATGTATTTTAAAAGTCTACAGATCAATTTGATAAACACAAACTAAATTAAAACTCAGTAAACTACATGAATGTACATCTCACTAAAGATGATGAACATGTGGCCAAAAAAACATATGCTAATGATGTCAATAATACTAGCTATAAGTAAAATAAAAATAAAAAACACAATAAGACACCATCATACCATATACCACTGAACAAAGAATTTGACTATAATGTTTTTGAGAACATGGAGCAACTGAATGTCTTATATATTGCTGGTGGGAATGAAAAAAATACAACCCGCTCTGAAAACTGTTTGGCAACTTCTGTTGTTGTGTTGTTATGTGCCGTCGAGTCGGCCCCGACTCATAGCGACCCCTCCTTGGGTTTCTGAGGCAGTATCACTACGGAAGTAG